GACAATCCCTCTTGATATGCCCTACCTCTCCATACTTAAAACAACCTCGAGCTGAGAATGGCTACTAAATCTGAGGGTGCCTATAATAACCTGAGTACCCACTGGAAGAACCCTTAGTTGAAGGAGTACATTAGGAACTCTGTGCTGGTAGTGCACTGAATGAAGATTGAACTGGAGCACTACGAGCGGGCTAATAAGCTAAAGGTACTAGCCTGCAAGGATGGCCTCTCCTAGAATGATCCCTATCTCCAGACGAGGTACTACTGAAACTGCCAACATACCAGGTTTTCTTGCCCCTAGCCACCATAGCCTCCTTGCCTTGACCCTGCATGCGCTCAATCATATGCACTATGTCCACAACCTGAAAGAATGTAGTACCAGTCTCCGCCTCTCTAGCAGTCGATATCTTGATAAGAAAATTCAACCTCTCAATGAACCTCCTCACCTTCTCAAACTCGATGGGGATCTGGAAAGCTGCATGATGGGATAGCTATATGAATCTCATCTCATACTCCATCATAGAGATGCGACCATGTTGAAGGTTCTTGAACTGACCATGCATCTACCCCCTCTTTGTGAGGGGAATGAACTTCTCTAAGAAGAGATGTAAGAATTGACTCCAAGTGAGTGGAAGTGACCCTGATGGCCTGCTATACTCATATGACTGCCACCACCTTTTGGCTGGCCCCTGAAGTTGAAAAGTAGTGAATGTGACCCCATTGGACTCCACGAAACCAAGATTTTGGAGAATCTCCTGACAACCATCTAAGAAATCCTATGCATCTGCCAAAGTATCACCATCATAATGTGGAGGACCCATCTTCCTGAACCGATAAAATCTCTTCTGCTCCTCCTTAGACATAGCGGCCTTCATTACTAGATTAACACTAACTACAGGAGGATGTCCCTCAACCTGTACCAGTCCTGGCATCTGATAACCTGCCGCAACCTACTCGGGAGTGTGAGTAGCTAGAGTATGTGCCCCTCCCCCGTCTTGAGAAGTAGGCGGTGCCACATGAAGTACTTTATTCTGTGCTACACCCTCCACAAGACCAACAAAACAAACAAGGGCATCCTTAAGTACTGGGGGTAGTAATAAACGTCTCCAGGACTTGAGCTAGTCCAACTGGATCACCCTGATTAAAAACCTTCTCCTCGACCGGAGCTACTGGTGGCTCCATAGTGGCTGCCCTAGTAGGAGCTCTAGCTGTCGTGCGGACCCTGCCTCTACCTCGACTATCGCCTCTCACAACTATAGCCTGGGGGGCTGGTGCCTACCCAACTGCTCCAGATAACCGTTTTCTCACCATATGTGAGAGAATAGAAATACAAGCATTCAAACTTCAGATCAATAAGCCAAACGATAAAGAATGAAAGAAGGGTAGTTTCCTAAGATCCTGTAGCCTCTCGGAGATAAGTACAGATTTTTCTATACAGATCCACAAGACCCTACTGGACCCGCTTGTGACTTTGAGACCTACACAACCTAAAGCTTTGACACCAACTTGTCACGACCCAAAATCCTATCTCAAGGCCGTGATGGCACCTAGCCAAACTTGCTAAGCATAAACAATAAATAAAGTCCATTAGTATTACTTTTTAGCAGAGATATATAACAATAAAAGATGAAAATAGTCTAAAAATAGTATTAATATCTGATAAAAACCCAAGCACGACCTAAACAATGGCCAATACAATACGCCCCAAGACTAGGTGGCACAATTACACAAGCAAACTATGGAAATAAGATCAAGTCTGTATGCATGTCAAGCTGCCTGAAATACAAATAGACAAAAATATATAAAAGAGACATGGATTCAGGAACAACGAAATAGATCCACGAAGTGCAGCTCACCCTAAATCTCCGTGAAATTTCCTAGCTGAATCAGGAAGCTCTGCTAGGACTCACATGAGGACCTGCAAAAAAAGATGTGCAGAAGCGTAGTATGAGTACACTACAATTGGTACCCAGTAAGTATCAGGTCTAACCTCGAAGAAGTACTGGCAAGGCTAGATGTTTCCGAATACTTACCACACAAGTATAATAACGCAATTAAAACAACTGAACAATAAGTAATATCATGAATAACAAGAGTAACAGATATCAACAGTTGAAAAGTATTAAGCATGCTTTTCTGGGACTTAAATTACCATAATGCGGCATAAATATCAAAATAAAAGATAGCATGCCCAAATATCGAAGTCGGGATTCCCAATTAGCATATAAGGATGTTGAGTAATGATTAATAGTTAAATAAATATTTTTAAATGAGTAAATAATAAGAATGCATGCTCAACCGGTACAAGATTCATATACCCTAGTAAACAATCCATGCATTAACATAACTCGATACACAATCCATGTATGGATCCGGTAAAAAATCCATGTACTGACCAAGCTTAGATGGCCCAAGATAATATGGATATTCATCTGACTCCAAAGAGACAAATCCAAATCCAAGTGCAAAGAGGGGCATGATAGCATCCCTTATAAATCAATATCCGATCATCATGTCTAATATGCCATAACTGTATTTCATCTGCACGCTTACCATTCGTTCCAAAATCCTCAGCCCAAATCACATGTCCGTATTCAAAATATATTTATATGCTCAAGAATCATAGATTAAAGGTGCACAAGGACTTAATAAATATTATACGTATATGTGCTTAAGAAATCTGTATGTGACTACGGATAATTATGCAATTTGACATATCAAGAATACGTTTCCAAGCCTTCACAATTAATCATAAATCCAAGCCTTGATTTCTAACATGAATAATAGAGCAACGTAGTCAATTGATAATGCAGGCAAAACAAGGCACATAATAATTCAATTCTACTCTTGTCGTAATATAAACTTGGTAAATGCATATATGCTCGCCACCAGGTATATACACTACCCCAATACCTTAAAAACATAGCAAACAAGTCAAATCCTTGAGGTCTACCTCTTAACAAGGTTAGCCAAGAGACATACCTCCACCTGGTAGCCTTAATATCTCCAAAAGTGCGAATTCCTCATAAATCCAACTCCAAAAGGCTCGAATCTAGTTTAATACACCCCAATAACGCCAAACAAAGATATAGAAATCAATTCAAAATAATAAAGCTCCAATCTTTATCAAATAGCAAAAAGTCAACCGAAAAGTCAACCTAGACCCACTTTTCGAAACCTGACCAAAGTCATAAATCCCGACTACCCATTCGAATATGAGTCCAAATAAATAAGTTTCATCCAAAACTGACTCCAAATCGAGGTTCAGATCTCATTTTTCACTTTAGAAATTTTTTTCCAGAACCCCCAATTTTTTTCTCTTAGATTTACCAATCGAATACCAAAATCAAAGATAGAATCATGAATAATAATTAAATCCGAGTCAAGTATACTCACCCAATCCAAGTTGGTGAAAATCACCTCAATCGGAGCTTCCAATCTCAAAATATAATAAAATGAGCTCAAATTCCCGAAAATGACAACGTATAATTCTGCCCAGTGATACCTTTCACGAATACGGCCAAGCCTCGCGTTTGCGAAGCACAACCAGCTCCACCCCCAAAAATACCCAACACGAACGCAGTCTTCCACCCACAGATGTGATGCACAAGGTCCACTAGCTTACACAAATGCGGTCGCCTTCCCGCGAACGCGAAGGCCAATTGCCTGGCCAACTCCCAATCTGCCTTACGCTACGTGAACGCGATGCCCATGTCGCGAACGCAAAGGCCAAGCTGCCTCATCCATCACGAACATGACCAAGTGTCGCAAATATGAAGAAGAAAAACATCTGCTCCCAGAATAAGCCTTTGCAATCGCGAGACCTGTGGAGCAGACCTGCTCCGCGGTCGCGAAGCACATCAGACACCAACAATCTTCAGTAGCTCATTGAAGCTCGAATTGATCTGAAATCCATCGGTAACACTCCCGAGCCATTAGGGACCCCTTCCAAACATACCAACCAATTCCAAAACATAACACGGACCTACTCGAGGTCTCAAGTCACACAAAGTAACATCAAAACTACAAATCGTACCTCAATTCATGTTTAATGAGCTAATCAACTTCCAACTTTCAAAACCCATGCCAAACCATACCTAACCAAAATGAACCTATTCCAACCTCCAAAACGAAAATCAAAATCTGATTACCTCAAATTCAATCTTCGGTCAAACCTATGGACTCTCCAATCCTACAAATTGCCAAAATCGGCAAATAACACCAAAACATCCTAGAAACTTCCAAATCTAATTTCGGGCATAGGCCTAAGTCCAAAATCACCATACAAACGTATTGAAACCATCAAAATACCTTTTTGAGGTCGTTTTCACAAAAATTAAACCTCGGTCAACTCTTACAACTTAAGCTTCCATAAATGGCACTAAGTGTTCCAAATCACCCCGAACCTTTCTGAAGCCAAACCAATCAACCCCGCAAGTTACAAAACAATACACATACGGGAAACATCAAATAGGATAACAGATATCAAATACACAAAATGACCGGCCGGGTCATTACACTTACTGGATATCAATTGCAGTGTACTCATTCTACGGTTCTGCATATTGTTTGTGCAGATCCTCAGGTGGGTACTAGCATAGCCTCTTATTGAACCTAAGCATCCACTAAGAGAGTTAGGGTGAGCTACACCTCATGGATTCATTTCACAATGCCCGAGTTCCTATCTTTTATTATCTCCTATCTATTTTCATTCTCTTAGATGGTTTCGATTATGTATTCAAACTTGTACTTATTCAGTAGTTGCTCGAGTACTTATGCCACCTAGTCCTTGGGGGTTGGGCTGTTTTGGTCGTGTTTGGACCATGTTATGATTGTATAAGATATTTTACTATTTTGAGATTACTCATGTCTTTATTTATCATATGACTATATTAATTATAGGAATATGGACTATATTTTATCGTTTGTGAGCTGGCTTGTGTAGCAAGTATGGCTAGGCGCCATCACGATCTAAGGTGGGATTTTGAGTCGTGACATATTTCAATGCTTCCAAATAGAAATATTCCTTTTGATTGAACACCAGAACCTGAAAATGGAATCAACAACATTAGTTGTTTAGTGAAATAACAAGGTGTAGTAGACGAAATGAGATCTTGATTATGCAAATCTATTAGTAATTGTGTGTCATTGCTAACGCATAATAAGAGAATCCTAGTTTCCAAATCAAGCCATATGTTGCTTGCATAAAGAAAGCTTTAAAAAGTAACATATTTATTTATGCGAAAGGAAAATGAATGCTTACTTGAGGATTGATCGAGGACGAGCCGAAGATCCTCGCCTTGCATCCAAGAGTGATGGGCACCCCAATTGATATACATGTTGTCTGGGAAATTAGCCTCAACCAAGTGAAATGCAATAGCTGAGATGAATAAAGCCAAAGAAAGAAGTTGAGAACCTGCCATTTTGAATATAGAACACTTCCCTTGTTTCTTTTTAGTTCTCCAAACTAGAACTGGAAATTGCGTGTCTTTGGATTTGGAATATGTAATGTTTATATAGGTCTTAATCAAATAATGCCTTGTTGAGGAATCCCTTGAGCATGTAGACCTAGTCATCAGTTTGATGTTGTTAGCAACAATCTTTCAGAACACTAAAACCCAAATCTTTCACCAAAATCACCAAAATATGAATAAATCAGAAAACTGTGATTTTTTTCAAAAACTTTCAACAACAGATAAGATATTTCATTCTCATATATCATGAGGAAAAGTACAACTCTATGCCTACCTGTCAATGTGCATGTGAAGTTATGAATGTCACAAAACCGTGTAGCATAAGAAAATGCATCTCTATGCCTACATGCCAAGTATGCATGTCAAATGTAATGCATCACAGTGATGAACTCATGTGCTCATGCACTCGGCAATCAGCACTCTGCGCTCACTGCTGGTATGTCACACTCTGGAGGGGCGGATCCTGCCCAAACGCTAATATAAGCCAACATGGCATGTTACGGTGTGCAGCCCAATCCCATAATCATCACTCACAATCAGGCCTTCGGCCTCACACAGTCATCAATCTCTCCAATCTCTCGGGCTCACAAATTTCATGCCAATCAGCCCAAATAATGATATATGATGTAACAATAATGATAGCAGAGACTAAGATATGATATGCAAATGATGAATGTTATTGAGTATATAATTGCAATCTAAGAAAAGAACTCAACAACTGAAATGACCTTAGTGGGCCGAACACAATACAAAAGCAAATGGAGAATGTGCGGTCGTATCCCTTGCTCGCTTTATTGCATAAGGCTAATATTATCCCTCGTGATTCTGAAATGTTGTCTGATTTTGAAAAAGAAGCTGAAAACTTTATATGCTCAAAAATCTTAAAATCCAATAAGTGAAAGCAATCAGACGTTGTGCTAAGTATAATTGGCATGACATCCTTTGGGAATAGATATACTTGCTCATCCTAATTTAGGCCTCATTTGTTTGTGTATTTTTTTTAAGATTAAGAAGTTTGAATCTGAATGTATATCTCAATATCAAGATGTGTATTAAGATTAAGATATTTAAATTTGAATACACATTTGAATATTAAGATGTGTATTAAGATCTGAATACTAAATGATTAAAATTGTTTGATTTTTAACATCTGAATGTATAAAATTTATCTTTATTTAAAAATTAATAAACATAAATTCAAATAAAATACGAATTAATCTAATATTATATCAATAAAATATATAATTTTTTTAAAAATATGACAGTTGCTGATGGTTGTTGGGACCAAACACACACGCAAGTATACGTGGCCGTCAAGTAATAAAGTGACTCGAAAGTCGGATGTTGAACCCACAGAGATTTAGATTGATCGCTAACTAAGAAAACTAAAATCAATTAGTTGTCCAAGATAATCAAGAGTGATGTTCTTCTATTAGTCTATTATTGCGAAAATTAAACAAATAACAACTAATTTAACTAGAATGCAAATGGGTATGATGAGACTTTAATTCAGAGGAGATGAAGATTTCAGGGTTGTGGTTGGTTTAACAATCCTATTAAGTTCAATAATCACACTCGTTAATCCGAATTATCTATGGTTGCTATTTGACCGGATCGTTTATATGAATAGCATGTTCCCACAATAATATCTGTCTATCCATAATATATCAACCATATATTCCTATGATATTGAATCTATCATGAACGAATATACTATGGCATTCAACTAAGCAAGACTGTTAGGTATATTCCTACCCTAACCGCGAAATCTTTCTCCGAGCCACGGGTTCAGAAACAAGCTCTCTTTAATTCTACTTTAATCTAAACACGGCTTTCCCAAGCATAGCATAAATAGTAGGGTGAATTAGTAGCTACAACAATTCACAAGTTAAAACTAGAATTAAATAAATAACCACAAGATGATAATCCGAATTAACAGAGATATAATTAATAAACGTTAATAATCATGTCAACCACAACCCTAGAAACTAGAGTGCTTAGCTACTCATGTTCGTAGCAATAATTTTCCAAGTATTTTGTATAAACAAATTATAAAAAAAAAGAAAAGAGGAAGGAATGAAGAACTCGATGATTTTCTCCTCCTTAGAATGCTCCAAACGTCTTCTCCCTTCCAAAATAGTCTCCCTAGGTCTACGGTGTGTCAAAAGTCCTCAAAATCACGTTTTTACATGTATTTATACCAAGTAGGGTCGGACCCAGACGAAACACCTTTTCCTGCGCGAAATAGGACTCTGGCCTCTGTAAAATTTGTGCAGGCGCACCGCATGGGCGACACACCGCGCGGTGTGCTTGTGGGGAACTTCAGAGAGCATGCAATTTGAGGGCAACATCAATTTACACAGCCGCGGCGCGCTACGTGGCGCCCCACCCGACACCGCTGTGGGAATTTGAAAAAAATGTAAAATACGAAAGTTGTAGCCCTTTCAAATAGCTTTCCAACGATATATTGTGGAGCCCAAACGAAATTTTTGAGAGAAAAGTTATGTGTATTTTACTGGCCAATGCGCAGTACGCCTGCTCGATTCTTCGTTTCGTTCTGAAAGTGCACTATCATCCATTGATCACCGAACACGATCCCAACTTAATCCTTGGGTTTTTACTCAAACTTCAAAGCTCCAGAATAGCTTAAATTCTTTCCATAACATCTACATAGATCGAAATCACTCCTACAAGGCGTAAAACACACATTTAGTGCAAAACACTAGCGATTAAAGCTCAAACTCAATTAAAGTACAGTAAATTAGAATGTAATAAGTGACTAAAATACGTAATTATAGCCTATCATCAGTGGTGATGGCTAATGGTAGCGCTTGTCAATGCCGACTAAAGGTAGTGGTTGGTGGTAGATTTGGTTGATGATGGTGGTTTAGGATAGTAGCTGGTGGTGATTGGTAGTGGTGGCGATTATGATTGAGGATAGTGGCGGTGGGTGGTGATAGTTAATAATGGCGGGTGGTGGTGGTAGTTGTGGTTGAGGAAGGTGGTGGTGTGATGGTAGTTTACAATGATGGGTAGTGCTAGCTATGGTTGTTGATGGTGATGGGGTGGTTAGTTGTGGTAGTTGAGGTAGATGAGTGTTGATTGTGGTTGAGGATTATGGTGGTGGGGGTGGTGGTAGTCGATGATGGTGGCGGATATGATTGAGGATGATGGTGGTGGTGGTAGTGGTGGTTAAATATGGTGGTGGTGGGGGCATTGTGGTAGTTGATAATTGTAGGCGGTGGCGACAGCTAATAATGAATATGGATGATAGCATCTTAATGAAATTAAGTCTATGTTATAGATCTTAATCATACATACCCATTAAGTGGTTGTGAAATAAAATAAAAAAATACACTTAATGATTAAGATCTGAATAATTAAGATTCAGACTTTAAAATCAAACACACTTAATGTCTGAGATCTGAATGATTAAGATTCAGACATCCATTAAGTAAAAACAAATGAGGCCTTAGTTAGGAATAGTCATATCTAATATTTGCTAGAAATACACATAAAACAATCCTAACTAAATTTAGCCGTGAATGAAAAATTTCTCTTGCTAAAATTTAGGTGAGTGCGTATTACTTATGAACAGTGGTGGCGTTAGAAATTTTGCAAAAGGTGTTCAAGGTTTAATATATATCTATAAAAAATAACTTTTGACCTATATACATAGTATAATTTATTATATAATCCGTATAATTTTCGAACGAAGGGTGTTTTAAACACCCTTTATTCAATGTGGCTACGACACTACTTATGAAGGTTAGCTAGAGTTATTTTCCTATTTAAAATGAAGCTAGTAGAGGGGAAATATTTGCAAGTCTACTTCATTAAGGTTGGCTCAATAGATAAAGCACAAAATTATTACATTAGTTTGTTCTAGTAACCTGACCTATATATTAGGCAATAGGGAATATGGAAAAGAAAATGCATTTACATTAGAGTCTGGAACCAAAATATGGTTCTTTTGGACTCAAAGAACGAAAATATGTGAAAAAGAAATTTAGTGACCAAAATATGTATTGCGTTTTTTGGAACCACGCTATACTTTAACGGCCTTTTGGCCAGTTAAGTATAGCGTTTTTTCAAAGAACGCTATATATATATATATAGCATTTTTTACTAAAATGCTATACATATGAATGGGCCCACAAATAATTCTTCAGTGCTTAACTGACATAACAATAATTCAACTGGGTATAGCATTTTTTTAAAAGACACTATACCTCAAATAATTGAACCCCCGGGCTGGTTTTTGCCTTATTTAAAGAGGTGAAGGATTTTGTAAAAATCCATTCACAAACATTTTCAAGTCTTCTGAAAATTTTTCTTTGATAATTTGTTCTTCATTTTGTCATAATGTCTTAAGAGCGAAGAATTAGGGTTTCATTATATTGGGGGGATGAAGTTGTGGTGGCGAATAACTCAGTAAGCTATAGTTTATCTCCACAGTCTCATGTTAAGTTGCCACTTACAATGGAGTACGATAAATTGGTATCGTTGATATGTAAAAAAAAAATGAGTGTGAGCAAACGTTTGGTGAATATTAAAATAACCAGAAGATATCCAAATTTTGTGACTCCGCAAGGGGTTGCTTGTTATGCTGAGTTTAACATCGAAGACGATGAAACTCTAAGAGATTATTTGGGGACTCGGGGACTCCGGATGAATACCAGAAATTTATTGTGATAAAAATATTAGAAATGTACGTCAAGGCTGAAGAAGTTTGCAATAATGAGGTTGCGCAAAGTAGGAAAATTCTTCAATTATCGGGCGGTTATTTTGGAGCATATTTAGCCGAACAGGTTCCAACTAAAAGAGTTTGGCCGGATCTAAACTTATCTCCACGGGCGAATAAGGAGCGAGGAAATAATTTCTCTCCTAGTATACATAATCCACAAGCCAAGTGGTAAACTTCAATTTTTCTTTATGTTACGATGTAT